AACCCCTAACCCCTAAACCCTAAAATTGAGCCCACAGCGTCTGCAGGTTCTGGCTGCAGGTCACCTGGTCCAAGGCAGGGGTTCCCTTTAAGGGCTTCTTTAAGGCAGCCAAAACAGAAACAGAGGGGTTTAGGGTTTAGGGTTTAGGGTTTAGGGTTGAGGGTTTAGGGTTTCGGGTTCAGGGGTTTGGGGTTTAGGGGTTTGGGGGTTTGGGGTTTGGGATTGAGGGTTATCGAAAGATGTCCGGCCCAAAGAGAGAAAACTTAAGCCAAGAGCATACTGCAAGCCCCTGAGCAACTGAAGGAGGATTACCGCGAAAATCATACCCCTATGGCCCTGGAAGAAAGGGGATTTAGTTTAGCAATTCCCTAACTCTCGACCCTAAATCCTAAACCGTTCTAAAGCTTCGGATTGCTTTGGACACCACCTGAGTTGGGACGTAAGTTCCACATTTTCGGGTTTTTGGGTTTGGGTTGAGGGCTTAAGGTTCTTGTACGGTCGTTTAGGCTTTTATGAGTTGTTGGAGGCGCTTATGATGATAAAGAAGTACTTCAGGACTTTTAGGTTTGAGCAGGACGACAAGCGAGGTTACCATGTCACAAGATCTACCCTTACTTAGGGTCTCCTTCCATACAAGGCTTCGAGTTGGAGGCTTGACGCCCAAAGATGCTTGTAGAATCATATATATAACCCTTAAAAACCGTTTAGAATCCTTAAAGCCTTTCTGAAACCCTACCGTTCGTGTGTCGGGCTTGTCAGCATGCTCTACCATCCGCGATATGACACACGGGCTGTTCCGTTGCTCTCCTTCCGGGTTCTCATTCTGGCGATGTCCTGCCGTAGTAGGTGAAGAAAAAACATAAACCTGAAAGCCGAAAGCCTTGAGCTCTGAAGGCTGAATATATGCGTATGTTTGCGTTATAAACCAGAAAACATAGATTTGCATCTTTATGCATGCATGCGTGTACTTACTTAAAACAGTTCTCTTCTTATCTACTTAGCGTTTTTCAATTTTGGGGTCTGAAATCCTTCACCCTGCGCTAGGTGACCGCCAGGAGCCTCCTTTTGCGGCTCGGCGGCACCATTTCCTCGGAGTTCAATGATGTTTGCTTCGGGGCTCGGCACTTAAGGCATCTCGGATTTGAGGCATAGACAAACAGTTGCTAACGCTGTTCTCGCACGCTGCCTGAAAGAAGAGACGCAACCAAAGTCTAGAGTCGTATCTTTCCACTTTACCAACCATCCGGTTGGCACCGACTGCTGTAACTGTAAGGAGGATAGATTACCCACCACCCAAGCCGCACAAACAAAACAAGCAAAACCTGAAAAGCCAACACCCGAGACCCGGAAACCCAAACCCTAGCCTAAATCCTTAACCCCAAACTCCCAAACCCTAATCCCCATACCCAAACCCTAAATCCGAAACCCCCATCCCTAACCACTGAACCCAAAACCCCAAACCCTAAATCCTCAACCTCGAACTCTCAAAACCTAATGTAGGGACCTTAAGAGTTCGAATAGGGTTTTAGGGTATAACGTACTATAGTTATCATAAGGGACCCCCCAAAAATACTACAGGTAATCATTTTGGCCCCTACTTTAGTCCCTAAACCTCAAACCCGGAAATCCTCAACCTCGAACTCTCTAAAAAACCCTTCCAAGCCCTAGAACCCTAAACCCTAGAACCCTAGAACCCTAGAACCCTAGAACCCTAGAACCCTAAACCCTGGAACCCTA